TAAGGAACACAGATACACGCACGTACATACAGACACACAGACACGTAAATTAAATAAAGATGCCAAAGCATGATGAGTGTTAATTCAAAAAAGCAAAAATGTAAAACAAAAAAAAAAAAAAAAAAAATAGAAACGCAAAATGAAATTTTTCCTCGCCGATGAGATTGTCGGGATCCCCCAACGCTTCTCTGTGGATGGATGACTGTCTTTCCGTGTAACTACCGTCGACGATCCATTTACAATAAAGAGGTATTTTTGTAAGAAAAACCGGAAAAGAAGTTAACCGTTGAGTGATTTTTTTTCGTCAATCCTTATCTCCCATAATATACGCGATGACGAACGTGTCGAAGAACGTTATTATTCCGTGTTATTTTTCCCTAAATGTCAACGAAGTTTATCGATTTCAAGTTTAAATTCATCGACAATTGATGGTGGTACTTCGTTAACGGCGATCGAGTAGATAACATCGAAGCGAATTTGGAAATTCGAGCCGATCGATCGCCCGATTCCCATCCCACTGGCGAGGACAGTGATTCGTTAAAATGACAATTTGTGGCCATAGACGCGGTCATAAACGAGACGTCAATCAGCTTAATTACCAACGCTTATCAGTTGCGCGTCAGTCGTGTTTCTACGGGACAGAAATTCGATTCTGTCTGGAGACGGAATCGTTGCGTTTGTCTTCCTGATCGATACGTTCGAATGTGTTTCACCGATTTTATATCCGTTTGATATCGATTCGATTCTTCTTAAAAATTATATATACAGTAAAATTTACTGTGAACTTGAATTTTCCATTTAATAAAGAGACTTCGAACATTCGAAGCGCATCATTAAGATGTATCGATGTTTTGCGAATTCGTTTTAGAAATATATTTTAAAGCTGACAACGTTATTATATTTTTTTATATTAAATATATTAAGATGTATATGTAGTTTTGAGAAAGAAAAAAAACGATAAAATTGTTCGGTCCTGTGTAACCGTGCTTGTGGTTACGCGGTAGGAACACGTATAAACAAGGAAAGGAAATAGTGAGAGGAAGACAGAGATAGGGTAAAAATATTGAAATCAGCGCCATCTTCAGAGTGCCGCAAACGAAACACGCGTGGAAAGGATAGAAAATAATAGAAAAAAGATAGAGATAGGATAAGAATTGACCGTCAGCGCCATCTTCCGAGCTTTATTCAAAGATATTTCTTTCCGGGACTCGATAGATGGCGTTAATCCTCGATTCTTACTCTTCTTTATCTTACCTTTGAAGAAGTAATTTTCTCAAGAGATGGCGTTGATAGTTAATTCTTATCCTATCTCTATCTTTTTCTTACTATTTTCTATCCTTTCTACGTGTGTTTCGTTTGCGGCACTCTGAAGATGGCGCTGATTTCAATATTTTTACCCTATCTCTGTCTTTCTCCAATTCATTATTTCCTCTCCTTATCTATATCTTTACATTTACGCGCTCAAAAGATGGCATCGGTACCTGATTTGAACTTTATGATTTTTTTTTTTTACCAATCTATCAATTAAAAATCTTAACCAAGAGAGTCTGATTTTTATACGAGAAGAAATTATTTTTGAGATCTGTTAAGTTTTGCGATTGAAATTATTATAAATCCTACGCTCGTCGTTCCAAATCAAAAAGCATACGAGACAACAAACGCAAACAACGGGATGAGAATCGTTAGATTAATTTTTCTAGGTAATATTTACCATAGATAATGATGAAAAATTTTAAATCGATATTCTTATTACTACTATATATATATATATATATAATAAAAAAAGTCCAGGCAAACATCGAGAAGAGTTTCTGATAATCTATAATCTACTTTTGATAAATGCAAAATAAATCAATGGCGAGTGAAAAAAAAAAAAAAGAAGAAAATATCGATGTACTACAGCATGATCGATGTAATGAAAAAACTCAAGATTTTTTTCGATAGTAAGAAGTGTATATTACTACAACATACTTGTGGGATATCGATTGCAACAATGATCGCATCAGAGAAGGGGTGGGGAGCTGGAGCGGGGGTTTTCTACTCTTCTACACGGCGGATACGTATACAACAAAGAAAAAAATACACACATATTAGCTGTGACAATAATTTGTTCGCGTATCAATACGTGTGTCGTGTAGTTGCATTTTTTCTTTTTTCCCTTCTTCTTTTTTTTTCCTTTTTTTTCATTTTCACCAGGATAGATTACAAGAAAAGTCGCATATAGAAAAAACGGAAACTACTTCACTCGAATCGTGATAGATTGTATCGAACGCGGAATGGTGCCTGATCGTTCGGCCCACCCCGTTTTCACGTCTATAAAATTATCGTAAAATACGTATATGGCAGTCAAACAATGTTTTCGTTTTCGTTGATCGTCTAAAAAAATGGGCGTGGAATGTCTCTTCACTTTTTTCCCCTTCTTTTTTTCTTTCTTTTCTTTCTTTTTTTTCTTTTTCTTTTTTTACTCCGTTCGTTTCATTTTTTTATTATTTTTCGTTTGTTAAAAAATTCGCGTAAACGATGATTGGCAGACAGTCGTTGGCAATGTTTCGTTTTCTTTTTTTTTTTTTTTTTTCGTTCGCAAATGGAAGAAAGAAAATCGTGAGGTTCACACGAGCGAGGACAGTCGTCGAGAAAATCTGAACGAGCATCAGTTCGACACTTAACATTGAGTATTACGCAGGTAACTGGTTAACATTTATCTCGGTGTGAGTTATACATCCATGCTAGCTTAGTATTTAATTGGTCAAGATATTGTTTACGATGAAAGGACATACGCGTGATCTTTTTGTCTTCTTTTCTTTCTTCTTCTCTTCTTGTGCATTTCTCAAGTCGCGCATTTTCTTAAAGAAATTCGTGATTGTGACAACAACCGGAATCTCGTACTCGATCTTTTTCTTCCAAAATTAATAATCGAACGTGTCGCTAATTCTTTAATTCTAGTTCGAGTTTCTAGTTGTTCTCATTCAAATTATATGTACGCATTTCGTTCAACGAGTTGTTTCAACTTTGCAAACATTTTTTGTACTATGTCGAATTGAAAAGGTGGGCGTGCTAATCGTAATGCAACTGCGAACGCACAATTTCTCCGAAGTTAGAAGTTAATTCACAATTGACCGTGGCGAACGTGATGAAAAAGTTAATCCCATTGTTGAGGTAAAAATTATCGATTACAAAAGTGAGTAGATTATAAACGATGAACGTAAAATATATTATCGTAGAAGATAATAATTATTCGTACGCGCTCGGTCGCAGTTTGATCGCATAACTGCGAAATTAACCGATAATTAACAAAAACGACCTCGCGATATTTCATTTTCTTTCTGCAGTTTCATTACGATATTGTCGTACGTAGCGGAAGTAGCGTGCTATGAAAAATTTAAAGATTCGAGGGAAGAAAGGTGAAAGAGATAATAGGATACGTGATCAATTAGGCCAATTGCACGTGCGGTGTAAAGTCGCGAGTGAAAAGTCGTTCCGTCATTACGATAGGAGGCAAAAGCTTTTCAGTGTATCGTTATCCCATTTCTCTCTCTTTCTCTCTCTCTCTCTTTTTCTCTCTTCTCTCACTCGCTCATTCTCTCTCTCTCTCTCTCTCTCTCTCTCTCTCTCTCTCTCTCTCTCTCTCTCTCTCTCTCTCTCTC